TAAAGAGGAGGGGAAGAAGGGAACCTTCCCAACATCCTTCGTTTTCATCCTCTCCCCTCCTTCCCCTGCACCCCTTTTTCCCTTCCTCCTCCTCCCTCCTCCTTCCCTCTTCCTCCCTCATCCCTTTTCCTCCCGCATTCCTCCTCCTTCTCATCGCCCTCGCCCTCATCGGCCCTCGAAAACTGGGAGACCACGCGTCGGCGTTTTCACGCCAACATTCCGAGGCGCATCCAGCTGCGAAGACAAGGAGGCCAGAAGGTGACCTTAGGCAAACACGTCAGAAAACACATCGTTTTAGAACATCTGGTTCCTTTCGTCAGAATTCCGAGGCAGCTCCAGCCGCGTCTGCAGTCGAGGGGTCCAAAACGTGACCTTGAATACGAACATACATCATCGTTCCAAAAGAACAATATCTGACTTCGCACCTCCCACCCTCGCTGGCGCAGCCGCGCGTTTCTCGCGCCCGCGCGTCTCTCGCGCACCAATCTCTTTCCTTCGCAGCGCTGCTGATCGTTCTTTCCTCTCTGACGTCCTCTTCCCCCTCCCCCTCCTCTTCCTCCTCCGTTCTCCTATCCCATTTGTTTTTCCCTATACATCCTCATCTGCTACCTGAGCTGTTTCCCTCCCCTTCCTCCTCTCCGCTAATGCTTGCATCCCTGTCTCTATCCTCTCCTCCCTCTCCAGCCCTCCCACCCTCGCGCCGCCTTCCCATCCCCATATGTAAAAAAGAGCAGGCCGCTCGGCAGGCTCCCTGTTAGCGCTTCCCACCCGGGCCGAAACGCTCGAGGAGGAAGCCGCAGGAACGGAGGATGCGAGGTATATGGGGGCAGAACAGTTTCAAACAAGTGGGCATTGGATGACCTCGGCGCGGAGCCGGAGCGCGAGGTTGAGAAGTGCAGGCCCACCGAGAGGTTCAAGGGGCGCATCGGCGATCTGTTCATAGAGGAGGCCAGCCTTGGATGGATGGTGGAGATGACGGACGAGCGAGCTCAGGAGCGTTGCAGGGACACCTTGCATGCGGCCGCCGTGGGGGTCGTCGCGGAGCCAGACACGTTCCGCGTAGTCCCTGGCGGTGCCCACGGGGCGGGGATCAATCACCGGATTCGCGGCCAAGATCAAGTCCGCTCGCCCGCGGCGTGCGAGCTGAAATCGCTGATGCGGGAGAAGATCGCGGCGTCCGAGTGTCGGCGCCTTTTCGCCCTTCTCGGGGGCGCGTCCAAGGCCCGCCGCCGTTTCGGCGTGAGGGGTGGGGACTGGGGGCCCCGGGCGTGCCGCCTCGAGCCTGGCAAGATCAAGGTGAACTGCGCGGGGGCGTGCGGCGTGGCCTCCGCAGGATGCTGGTGGCCCTGGTTGTCCTCGATGGTGGCTGTGCGCCTGTTTCATCTGTTGCCGTCCGAGCTCGGGGGCCAGGGCGCGCCGATGTTCGCCGACGACGTGTTGATGCTGGCTGGGCGGCTCGCAGAGATCACTGGTATTGCAGCTGCCCTCTTGGTTTGGCTCGCTCTGGGGCTGCTCTGGAAGTGGAAGAAGCTCAGCGGGGGGAGTCCAGCAGCAGTGGGTCGGCCACTGGTTTGACGTCGAGGGTTTCGCCCTCGGGATTTCGGAGAGCCAGCGCAGGTGGATGGTCGAGTGGATCCGCGGCCGTGGGGATGAAGGACTTCAGGGCGGTGCTGGGGAGGGTGTCCTTTCATGCTGGGCGCTCTGGACTTCCTCGAACCCTTCGCACGTCCTCCCTTCGCTTGGTTGGCTTCGTTCGATCACGACGGCCGCGTGCAAATCCCCTGGGGCGTGGCTTTCATCTTGGAGCACGCGGCCCAGCAGCTCGAAGCGGGAATGAGGGCGGCGAAGGTCGGGCACAGGTCGGCCTCTCTGGGGCCAGTCTTCTGGGCCGACGCGAAGGCGCGCGGGCGGGAGTTGGTGATCGGGGGCTGTGAGTGCGACGGCGGTTGCCCCTCGGCGGCGGGCTCGGAGGTTTGCCGTGGCTCCGTCGCCAGCGACGGCCTTTTGGGCTTTCGGGCGTGGCGAACCACTCAAACGCATCGCGCCGATCGAGCTCCTCGCGTCGCTGGTATCATTGCTCGTCTTCGGGGAAGTCTGGAACAATGGGGCGAAGTGGGCGCTGCAGCTCACAGGTCTCACGGATAAGAGCGGCAACACCTCAGCCCTGTGCCGTCTCATTAGTAGCAAGTTCCCGCTCATCATCGCGTTGGCGGATCTCGCGGCGCAGATGGCGGCTGAGGGCTTCGACGTGGATTTGTAGTGGATCCCAAGGGGCCAGAACGAGGAGGCACGCGGCATAACAAACAATAGGTTTGACTTGTTCGACCAGGAGTTAAGGATCGAGGTTCGGATCGACAGGCTCCCATTCATCGTCCTGGAGCGGATGTTGGGCGCGGCCGATTAGGTTTCCGGCCCGCGTTACTGGGCGCCGCCTCGGTGAGGGTCTGCCCCGGCGCGGGCGGCCGCCCCCAGGGGTTGTGCGGCGCCGGGCCCTGGGGGAGTGGGCGGCTGCCCGCGCGCTGCAAGGGGAGGGGTTCGCGTCGCCCCCTGGGTTTGGTGGCGTTTACCTGGCTGGTCTGCCAGGGGACAGTAGCAAATTTCCCCCTCGGCTTGAGTTCCCTCTGCCTGCCGTCGCGTCGCGTCGTCGCATCGGTAGGTGCAGTTTGCGGGTGCCGGCTGACTGGTAGGTCAGCGCTTGCCCAACAGTGCCAGGAGTGGCTCGAAGTGTATGCGGCGCTTGCCTGCGCCAGTGGAGGGGTTTCGGGGATCGTGGGGGACGGGCGCAGGTGGTCTGGGGATTGAGCCCGCGCCCAGGCTTCCCACGGTTGAGCGGTTGCCGCTCTCGAAGGGCAGGGACAGCCAGCTTGGGGCGTGGACAGGGGCGGTGGAGTCCAGGTTTGCGTAGAGAGGGACTGGTGGATCGCGCAACCGAGGTATACATACTTTGCGCATGTGAGGTGGACCCTCTGCTGCGCCCCCCGCGGCATCGGCCACGCGGCCAGGACAGGGCGAGGGGCGTCGACAAATCGCCCCCCCTCCCCCTGGGGCGCCGGCAGAATTTCTGCGGAAGACGGCGGAGGTGCGCCAGCCCAGCCTCCGGCCACTTCGTTGCGGCCACAGCCGTCCGAGGGGCGTGGCCCAGCAAGGGGGACTTGGGGAGGGGAGCGATCGGATGTTCTGAGTGTGTTGTGCACGTGTTTGGGTGGACGGGGCGTCGGGGTACACGGTCGCACGGATCGCAGTGCAGTGCGAGGATGCATTCATGACATTGTAGTCCTTGCGCAAGTGCAAGGAGTGCGGCATTATTCTGCCCGCCCCCACCCACCCGCGGCAGAAAGTCTGGGGATCATAGGAATCTAGAAGATTTTCCTGCGGGGCGGTGGAGCTCAGGGTTACGTAGAGAAGGGATGATGTATCGCGCAACCGAGGCAGAGATCATTTGCGCATGTCAGGTGGGCCCTCTGCCTGCCGCACGCCCCCAGGGCATCGGCCGCGCGGCCAGGACAAGGCGAGGGGCGTTAACAAATCGCCCCCCCTCCCCCTGGGGCGCCGGCAGAACTTCTGCGGAAGACGGCGGGGGCAAGCCAGCCCAGCCTCTGGCCACCTAGCTGCTGCCGAAGCCGGCCGGAAGGGGTGACAAGGGGGACTTGGGGAGGGAAACGATCGGATGGTCTGAGTGTTATGATAGGGACCGGCTAAACGATGCTAAGTCTTTTTTTCCTAGTTGCTGATTGTCTAGTGTGCCTCTGCCTCGGCCTGGCCCGCCGGCTTTCCGATCGCGTGGGCGACAGCCGTGGCCGTTGATGAAGCAGTTCCGTTCGTGGCGGCGCCATCCCGTAGCCGTTTTTCTCTCTTCCGCCCAGGGGCCAGGCCGCAGCGATAAGCAGAGGCAGCGCACGCCCTCGCGGCCCACTCCAGATTTATCCACGCACCGCGACAGGGCCCGCGATGGCCCAGCGCCCGATTTGGCCATTCCTGTCTTTGCCCCGTGCCATTGCTGGCTTTCTCCCTTACGTTCTCCTCAGTACCTGTCACTCTTTTCCCTTCATAGCCTATCTCGTCATGATCCTCGTCATCGTGGTCCTCGTCTTCCTCCTCCCCCCACTCATCCGCTCATTTCTGCCCCCCCACCCCCTCCCCCTGCTTCTTTGCCGTCGCCCGCCGCTCGCCCCCTCCTTCGTAGTTCTCCTTTGCCGTTGCGTATGCGCCCCCTCCCTCTCGGAGGTTGCCAAAGGTGATCTTGGCCCAAGTCCTTCCAGATATTTCCGTTACTTTGGGGGCTTCGTGGGTCGCCTCCTGGCAACACGCGACCAACGTCGTCGTCGTTCTCTTTCGCCGTCGTGCAGCTGGCACTGGGGTTAAGAACCGCAATAGCTCTGAAGCGGGTACCCTTACGTTCTTTGCGTGTGTGTTGGGCCTTTCGCCTTGGAATGTTTTTCGGTTCGGGTACATTCACGGAGTCTTGGGCATTCCACGAAATCGCTCATGCTCTTGACCCAACTCCTTGGTGGCCATGTTTCGACTGTACGCACCCTTTCCTTCTCCCTCGTCGCGTCGTTCTTCCCGACGGCGATGGTTGGCCCGCGGTGGCGGCCTCCGCGAAGGCGGAAGAGCCCGTTCCAGGAATCATGCCCTACACGGAGGGCGGGGGATGTGCGGCGTTGTGCCGCTTGCGCGGACAGAGAAAACATAATATTGATGATGATGATGAGGAGGAGGAGGAGGAGGAAAAGGAGGAGGATGAGGAAGCCGATAGTGAGAACGAGAACCAGAGGAGGGAACGGGAGGAGGAGGTGGCTGGGCGATGAGGAGGAGAAGAAGGAGGAGGACGAGGAGGACGAGGATGACATCAAGAGGAGGAGGAGGAGGAGGAGGAGGAGGAGGAGGAGGAGGAGAAGGAGGAGGAGGAGGAGGGGGAGGGGGAGGGGGAAGGGGAGGAGGAGGAGGAGGAGGAGGAGGAGGAGGAGGAGGAGGAGGAGGAGGAGGATACCCCCCTCGAGGAGCTGGAGATGTACGTCCCGCGCACGGTAGCGGACATCGTGCCCTCGACGGAGAGAGCACCCCCCCCTTCTTCTGGCCAGCGCGGCCTGGTTCGGTGAGGGGGCCTCCGACGCCCAGCGGACATGCTGGGACAATCGGGTCCGTTGGAAGGGTGTGGGCATTGTGTGTGGATACGTTGTTGTTCGTCATGCTGCTGTTGCTGCTGCTGCTGCTGCTGATGATGATGATGGTGAATATGATGGTGATTATGACGATGATGGTGATTGTGATGATGCTGATGGTGAAGGTAATGGCAATATTGATGATATGATGATGGTGATGATGCTGGTGATGATGACGATGGCGATGGTGATGTTGATGATGTTGTTGTTGATGATTATGATGCTGATACTGAAGATGATGATGTCGTTGGTGTATGATGCTGCGGTTAATGTTGGTGCTGATGGTTATGTGGCCCATGATGTTGGTGCCGATGTTGTGAATGGTATGAATGATAACGGTGTTGGCACTGATGATGATGGTGATGATGATGGTGATGATGATGATGGTGATAACGATGATTATGGTCATGACGGTGGTGGTGATGGCGATGGCGTTGGTTACAATACTCAAGATGATGTTAGTGTGGTTGTTGGTGAGGATGTTCGTGTACCGTCAGTGCGGTGATGATGCATTGATGATGATGACGATGTTGATGATGACGGTGCTGAGTCGAATGTGGCTGATGATGACGATGATGATGGTTATGATGCTGATGATGTTTATGATGCGGCTGATGATGATGAGGACGTTGATGCTTATGACGATGATGATGTTGATGATGATCATGCGCATGCTGGTTATGATGATGATCATGATGATGATGCTGATAAGGACGATGATGGTGATGATGATGATGATAATAATGATGATGATGATGCTGTTGGTGATGGTGATGGTGATGGTAATAATCAGACGGAGGGGGGCAATCGGTCATTCCCTGTCCCTGGGTGCGTGGTTGCAGTGGGATTCCGCGGTGCGGATTATCCTTGTTGTTGTTGTTGTTGGTTGTTGTTTGGTGTTGCTGTTTTGAACAAGGCTGGTTTGAAGGTGCCCCCCCCTCCCCTGCAACCAGCAACCCAGCACCCCCCCCCCCCCCCCTCCCAAACGGCCTTCGGCACACCCCTTGGGGGTGGGCTACGCCCCGTCCAAGGGGGATTGTTTCTAACCTCATATGAATCCTCATCTCTGTCATCCTTCCTCATCCCACCCCTCATCCCTCCTCCTTCTCATCTCCCTTGTCTCTATCATCCCTCCTCTCTCCCGCGTACTACTCGTACTACTACTCGTACTACTACTACTACTACTACTACTACTACTACTACTACTACTACTACTACTACTACTACTACTACTACTACTGCTGCTGCTACTACTACTACTACTATTATTATTACTACCCTTACTGCTACTACTGCTGCTATCAGTACCATCGCGAGTACTACTCGTACGACTACTCGTACTACCACTATTACCGCTACTACTACTACTACTACTACTACTACTACTACTACTACTACTACTACTACTACGACTACGACTACGACTACGACTACGACTAGTACTACTACCACTACTGCTGCTACTACTACTACTACTACTACTACTACTACTACTATACTACTACTACTACTACTACTACTACTACTACTACTACTACTACTACTACTACTACTACTACTACTACTACTACTACTACTACTACTACTATTACTACTACTACTACTACTACTACTACTACTACTACTACCTACTACTACTACTACTACTACTACTACTACTACTACTATTACTACTACTACTACTACTACTCTACTACTACTACTACTACTACTACTACTACTACTACTACTACTACTACTACTACTACTACTACTCTACTACTACTGCTACTGCTACTGCTACTACTGCTACTGCTACTACTACTACTACTACTACTACTACTGCTACTGCTACTGCTACTGCTACTGCTACTACTACTACTACTACTACTACTACTACTACTGCTACTACTACGACTACTACTAGTTCTACTAATAGGAGTACTACTACGAATTACTACTATTACTACTCCCACTACTAGTACTACAGTGCTACTACTGCACTACCATACACAGGCGCAGTGGGGCATATCGCCACCTACATGCTGCTCGCGTCGTCGTCGTCGTCGTCGCTCGTCGCTCGTCGCTCGTCACGTCGCGCGCGCGGGCGCGGCTGCGGTGCCGGAGCCACACGGCGGGGGGGGCGTTACGTCATTACCCCCCCTCGCCCCCCCACCCCCATGATGCTCGTCATCGCCGAACATAAAGAAACGCGCTCTTACAGTCAACCCTCATAGTAAGGATGAGCAACTGCCCAATCTTACCCCTGCATCCTTCCCCTTCAGCCCATCCTTGGTCGGTTTTGCTGGCCGCGCCCCGCTCGCAAGGTGTCGGCATGGCCTTCCAAGCCCCTTGCATTATTATCGTGCCTCCTTATTGTGCGGATTGGCTGTATGAGGGTATTACTTCTGCCTTCTAGGTGGCCACCACAGCGACGACGCGAGGAACGCGGGGACCCCCGCCAGGACCGCGCCAGCAACGCCGAGGCCAGCGGGGCGGGGGCCAAAGCCCACGAGGAGGCGGCCGCCGCCGACGGCGACGGGGGCTACCCGGGCACGGGCTCTGGAGGCGCTCAGGCGAACCCCGGCTTGTGCTCCCTCGCGGGGGGTCCTCTTCTGGGGATCGCCATGGGGGAAAGGATCCTGAGGGAAACGGGTCCTGAGGTTCTTCACCGTTTTCGGACTCTCGGGGTCCTCCACGGACCGTGGGACTGGCAGAAAACGGCTCGGGATGAACATTTCTTCCTGGGGGAAGGCACCAGGGTCCAGGACCCGTTTCCCTCAGGACCCGTTCCCCTCTATGCTAAGGAGGGCGGAGGAGGGAACATTTGGAGGAGAAGCAGAGCGCTGCAGGAGCTGGGGGTGGTCACAGCACTGCTGATGTGTCCTGTCTTCTCTCTCGCTCCTTTTGCGTTTCTGCCCTCTTCTCTCTGGGTCTCCTTGAGAATATGCCGATTTGTCTAGCCTGCTTAGGTTTCTCACTTCGGCCGTTCGGAACACCTGGTCCGCTCTGTGTGTGTGTGCGACGCACACTCAGCTGAGAGGGACAGGTGACGTGGCTGCTCGCGCGCCGGTAGGCCGCGGCAGGCCACGAGAAGGAGCGAATATTTGTCCCCGCTTTCTTCCCTGACAGTGCATGCGGGTGTGGTCCCGACTCTTTTGCACATCTTTGTCGTTCACGCAGGTTTGTACGCAGCACCTCGCATAGGCGGATAAGATTTAGGGGGCGGTCGCGGGTTGGTTACGAGTGGGTCGCGGGTGTGTCGCGGGGTGGGTCGTAGGGTGGGTCGCGGGGTGGGTCGCGGATTGGTCGCGGGTGGGTCGCGGGTGGATCGCGGGGTGGGTCGCGGGGCGGGTCGCGGGTTGGTCGCGGAGGGGACGAAGACAACAACAACAAAAACAACAACAGCCGCCTTAATATTGCTCGTTCTTGAATGCGCTCGCGTACCTGACCATGTATATACCAAACCCTCGATACCCGCCCTCTTCGTTTTCGATCGCGCTCCCTTTGGGGGGTGTATCTTCCTCACCTGCCACGTGTATTTGGCGCAGCCCCTAAGACAGGAAGATGATTTTGAAATGAGATAGATAGAGAGAGAGAGAGAGAGATTGAGAGAGAGATTGAGAGAGAGGCAGAGAGAAAGAGAGAGAGAGAGAGAGCGAGGAGGAGAGAGTGGAGGAAGGGAGGGGGGAAGGAACAAGAGGCAGGGAGGAGAACGTAGGACGAAAGAGATTAGCAAGTGGGGGGGCTTGGGGGAGGATCCGGACAACAAACGGCTGATCCAGACAGTTGGGTTGGGCGGCGGTCACCAACGGGCTGGTCGGGCGGGCGGGGCGTGCAGACCCGCGGGCGGACGCTCACGTGCGGGTCGGGCGGGCAGGGCATTAGGGGAGGAGCTTCCAAGCGAGCCAGCGGGCGTGCCGTCACAGGCGGGTCAGGCAGTCGGGCCCCGCGGGAAGTCCTCGGGGGAGAGCGCGATTCCCAAGCAAATGATGAGGAAGTCCCAGGCGAGAGCGCGATTCCTGAATGGCGAGGGCGCGGCGCTTGAATAAGGGCAGAGAGGAACAACGGGCGACAGTGGGGCCACGAAGGCAACAGTGGAGCCACAAAGGGCGCGGGGGGCACAAAGGGCATGGCGCCTGAATCATTGCAAGGAAATCCCAAGCGACAGCGAGATTCCTGAGTGTCGAAAGCGTGATGCCTGAGTAAATTAACTGTGAGGAAGTATCCGGCGAGAGAGCGAGTCTTTGATAAGTTACAAGACAAGGAAGTATCAGGCGGGAGCCTTTGTTGTTGTAAACCATGGGCCAGGGGCACAGTTTGAGCAGGAATATTTTCCCATGTAGAAGCCCCAGGAGGCTCAGGAGGCCCCAGGAGACCCCAGGAAGCCCCAGGAGGCTTCAAGAGGCCCCAGGAGGCCCCAGGCTCATGCGCAGAGACGTACCAATGTTACTAAGAATCATTCACACTGCAACTCACTCACAGTTAGAGTCGTTCCCAGACCGTTAATACTCAAGCCTGCTGCTATTCGACAGCTCTTGCGCCTAGACATACACGGTGGACAGGTCCATGCTAATCTATGCACATTTGGGGAGCTCCAGACAGTGAGTAATTTTCTTATGCGGTGCTAAGAAAGAAGGGGCGGCCTTAAATGCTTCATGCGGTATTTCGGGACTGTTCGCTCTGAACTGCTCGCGTGCCACTCAACGCTTATATCCCAAACCCTCGATACCCGCCCTCTTCGTCTTCGACCGTATCCCCTTAGGGGTGTATCTGTCCTACTTGCAACGTGTATTTCGTGCAGCCCTTAAGGAAGGGGAAGAGAGGACGGATGGAAGGAAGGGACAAGGGGCAGGCGGGTTGCTGAAGCGTGAGTCGTGCATGAATCGCGAGAAGTCTCGAGCCATAGCTCGATTTCCAGATACATCGCGATGATATCCACAGCGAGAGCGTGACTCCTGAGTGTCGAGGGCGCGGCATCTGAACAAGTTGCGAGGGCGTCCCAAATCGCCCCAAAGCGTTATTCCGTATGTTTTAAAACAGATGTGTTCGGAACTAATGCGAGAGCCACATATTGAAAAGGAACCGCTCTCAATCCGTCAAATTGTTGCCATGTTTGAAAACGAATCTGCGCGTCGCTAATGCGAGAGCCAAATGTTGGAAACGGCCCGCCCTCCCTCTGCGCAACTGCTGCCAATATTGAAGCTTCAGGATCACAAGTGGTAAGGAAGTCTCAGGCAAAACGCCCATGCCGCAGTTCCGACTGCCCGCGGCTTGTGACAGGGAGGAACAGTAAGGAACATACGAAAAGACATGGAGGAGGAGAAGGAGACCGTGGAGAGGAGGATGAGGAGACGACGACGAGGACGCGGGCGAGGGCGACTAGGCCGAGTGCGAGGGCGAGGAAGATGGCCCAGACATCCGACGCTTCGACTTGTTCGGTGCGTGGGCGCTGGGACCCCTCGACCTTTCACCGGTGGAAGGTTGTTCGTCTTCAGTAGTGCTTGTCGGTCCTGGGGCCCGAAGTTGGCTTCCAGAAGGCCACGAAGACAAGCAAACCGGCCGCCTCATTCTTTGGAGGCAGGAAGAAGAGGATCGCACGCTTGTAAAGGAAGAGAGGTTCTGTGGTTAGCCACAAACCCTAGGGGAGGCCCTTCGGAGAGGACCTTCGTGCACCACAGGGCGGCTGAGAGTTGCCGCCCCGTGGGCCCGCGACAGGACACCCCCTAGTACAAAAATATCGTCACTGCCGTCCTCTCCGAGATCGCGGGATTTTCGCTCTCGGAGCTGGGCCTCGAGGCTTCTGGCCTCGACCTCGTTCAAGGCGACTCTGGAGGCAATCTGCCAGCCAATGGTTGTGCCTGGCCTCCGGCCCCAAGCCTACGCGGGCTGCGGCAACGCTGGGCAACCTAATGGTGAATGCCACGGCCCGATGTTCAAAGGACGGTTGGGATGCTTCAGCTTACAAAACGCCGCTCTGTTTTTCTTGCTTGCTCCTAGGAGGGCCGCTTGCGGCCCCATGCACGCTGCCGTGAGCCCCCTCGCTCCAGGGGCCACTGAAGGACGGGGCTCCTTCGCAGCACAGGAAACTCAAGCAAAAGATGGCACCCCTGACTCTGAGGGACCCCTGTCGGTCCGTCTGAGAGGCTAGTCACATCTGGGCTGAGGCCTCCTGGAGGTGGTTGGCCTCAGGGCTCTCGAGGGGGGCCTCAAGGGAGGAGGGCTCCGCAGCAGCAGCAGCAGCCCTCCCCTCTCCACAGCCTCCTCCCTCCTGGCCTCGTCGATGGCCGCCCCGAAGCCGCCACTCTCCAGGGAAATCAGGGTTAGCCCTTAGGAGGCAGGAGGAAGAGGAGAAGATGCGAAAAAGGAGGGGCAAATGGCGGATGACGAGGGATGGCGCCTTGGGCCGCACATGCGTGTGCGCCCCCGCCGTCGGCAGCGGCTTCTGCGCCCAGGGGGAGAAGGGCAGCTTCATGGCGCAGACGCGCCCCAAGGAGCACTCTTTGTGCTTATGTGTCATGTTAGATGACAGTATTCAGAATAATGGAGTCCTCTCTACGTTTTTCCCTTGCAGTCGAAGCCTCAGCGGGATCGAGTGCATTTCTGGTAAGGACCCGGAAGTTCTTCAGGCGAACTCTTACCAGGATCAAAATCGTGTTTCCCCAGGCAGGACCCCCCCCAGGGGTCATCATCGTTCCTCCCCCATGTCTCCCTCCTCGTCCTACTCCTCGTCGGCCCTTTTCCTCGCCCTCCTCCTCCTCCTCCCTTCCCTGCCGGTTGCCCTCGCCCCTCCTTCCGGCCTCCCCCCCGCGGGAGCCGACAAGAGGCCTCGGGGAGGTCTCTTCTCCCCAAATGAAGGCGGTCCCCTCGAAGGCCTCAGGGAGGCCGCTCCCCATCAGAGAAAACTAACCTCATGAGCACAAGCTTTCGGACGCCCGTGCAAATTTCTGGCATCCGCGCGGACCTCCGAACGCTTATGCTTACGACGACGGCCTTCTACCAAGTGCTCTTTGGCACTGGTGTTTCCGTTCTTCGACATTGTCCTCCCTGCTGCTGCTGCTGCGGCAGCGGCGGCGGCGAGAGAGAGGACCTGGGCGACGGGCTGTACCGGGGGCTCAAGGTCTCTGCCCCGCCCCCCAGCCGCTTGTGTTTAAGGAGGGAGGGAGAAGGAGGGAGGGAGGGAAAAACAATATGGATGAGGAAGAACGGGAGACGGACGGAGGGAGGACGGGGAAGGGACGACGGACGGGGGAGGGACGGAGGACAGTCAATGTACCCCTTCGCACCACCTGGTTCTTGCCCTTCTCACCACACTTGCTTTGCTTGCGCTGTTTGCTTCTCTGCTTGATTCGAATATTACCTGAAGTTGTTCGGCTCAGGCGCGACAGAAAAGGAGCGTGCTGGCTTGCACGCGCGCGCCGAAGGGTCGTTCCCTCGTCGTCGTGTCGTCGGCCGGCCGGCCTCCTCCCTTCAGGGTTGCATATGTTGGTTGCTTAACGGCACGATCCTTTCTTGCCCATGTTTTCTGCGAGGCCCATTGACTATGGGACATCATCGGGACATACTGCAGGGATAATGAATTTCCAGGCGAAATACTACTTATCAGCCCAAGCGGCGGCACAGCCGTTCGCTTCGCAGAGTATGGGACCTCAAGAAGGACTGTTCGGAAAAGGCAGATCGTCAATGGCCTTCCGAATGTGATGATAGCATGGGCGCCTCGAACAGGCGACATACATCGTATATTCTTCTCGATAAGAAAGTAGAAGAGAAAATGTTTGACTTGGCAGGGGGATATTCATCAGTTGATGCAGGAATGAGTCCCGAGGAATTACCCTCAAATAGAAGGGACGGCGTAGCCAGAACTTCTACGGGGAACTCTTCTGAAACAGTTGTGGCACACGTTGGCTCAATAGATCGATATAGATTTCGAGATGGAAAAAAATGCTAGATACCGATCACTTCGAGGCGTCCGGCGTTGAACGTCCGGGTGCCGGGGGCGCTGCGCGGCACGCATTGCGTGGACAGGGTGAATATGTGAGCGATATGCAGTCTGAAGAAGACAGTTCTCATCCAATGGAGAAGCATGAGGAGTGTGCCCAGTTCCACACTTCACCCGCTTCGTCGCGCCATCTTGCATCTCTTCTTGACTTACATGACAATCATGTTCATAATCGAGCAATGATTGAGGCAAGTCAGAAAGCCACTATTGATTCAGACGATGACAGACAAGATGCATAAAAAAAAAAAAAAAAAAAAAAAAAAAAAAAAAAAAAAAAAAAAAAAAAAACGAACCCAAGGCGGGGACTCATCGGCGCAGCCGAAAAGAGACTCCCCTGACGCCACACTACAATAAGGAGCGCGCGAGAGACTACAAGGGCGACTCCTCATCCATTGACGAAGGGGTCAAATAATGAAAACGATGACTTGAATGTTTCTCCCTTACCACGGGGTTTCTACAGACCCGGTTTTTCTCTTCCCAAGGCAGGAAGAGATGGAGTACCAGAACTTGACGAGTTTGTCGTCCAGGATGAGCGAGATGAGAGAGCGATGAACATGGACGCGGATAATTCCAAGAGGGGTGTGAGGACGAGAGAACGGCGCGCGCCTGCCCAGAATAGCGAGAGGGGGCGATCCAGTAAGGCCCCCAGGGCCGGGCGCCCCAGCTCTAGAGGGTTTCATGTCTTCGATTCGCCGAGAACCTCGACTGATAGGACCACCGGCAGTTTTGCGATGCGGGAAGTTCGTTGAAATGCCGGCCCACTGTGCCCTTCCTGCGCGGGGAATCGATGTCCGGGGGAAGCGCGCAAATCGGGGGGGTCATGTCGTGTGTTCTCAATGTTCGAATGTTTTCCCCGAGTGTAGTCCAGCGTGGCTCTGTGACGATTGCATCGCAATGGAAGAGCATAATTGCCATCATCTTGCGATCCAGGAATGGATTGAAAGGAATAGGCAAGATCGAGAGCAATTAAGGGCTGCGAGTGCACGCGTACGACAAATTCTTGCTGAAGTGCAAGTCAATAAACAGGCGGCCGAGGAGGCCCGGCGTCGACTTGCGACTTCTGAAGCCGAAAAGCAGATGATTGCGCAGAGAATGGAGCATGAGAAGACCGTTGTTGACGATGATGCGCACAAGATGATACAGCGCGCTGAGGCCAGCGTGGCAGGCGCCGCGGACGAAGCAAATAAGCATCTTGTTCAGGGGGAGGAGGAAAATTCAAGGATTCAGAACAGAAAAACCGTCGATCGAGTCCCAACTGAAGGCAGAAAGGGAAGCAGCTCTTTATAATGAGATGGCTGATGCTGCGAGGCGGGAAGGAGAAATAGAGGCTCGAGAAAAAGGCAGCACGAGAAAATCAGGGGCGCCGAAATCAGCTCGAAGCTGCGAGACTTGAGGCCAAAAGAGCGAAATCAGAACGAGCCCTTAGAGAACAAGAGCAGAACACTCAAGCGACCAGAGCAGAGGACCAGAAGAAAATGGTCGAGGCATTGGATCGTTCGAAGGGGCAAGCAGAGGAACATATAAGAAGCAACGTCATTGCAAATCAAGCTGCAAGCGAATAACAGAAGGTTGAAGTCTGACCTCGATCAGAGACGAATGGAAGAAGAGGTTAACTCAACGATGGCGCAGCCGACGCATGCTGAGCCACCTCCCACCCCAATTGTTGCCCGGCCTGATCGGAAGAAAAGCAGGTTGATAAAAAGTGCGCGATCTGGTGTCTCGAACCAGACGTGCCGCCCGTGTGCGCGGCCTTCGCCCAATGTGTTCATGAGTTGCTTGGGGCGCACATGCGATGCTCATTTGGATTCGGGTGTTAAGCGATGCGGCGAGTGCGCGCGGAAGAAAACGCCGGGCCATCAGGGCGAGGGCGACGGGACAAGTGAACCTCAGAACGCGCTTGGCGCCCAGGGCACAAGTGGCGACCCTGTCGAGAAGGCGCCGAGACACTCGGCTTTGCCTAGAGATGATAAGCATGAGTGCCAGAAGAGCAATCTCGCCTACATAATGGGAATGCCGCTTTTCGAGTCATGACAAAATGGCATTGCTGACCGCCCCGTCAATGCCCGCGCTTTCTGTCGCGAAATCGCACTTCGTTCTGGGCCAGCTGGTGAGGGGGTTTCAGTATTTGACGGAGCCCCAGGAGTCAGTCCTGGAAATGTCCTTATCGATTCAAAGATATCGAGTCATCCGAGCGCTCTTGATTTACCAGGCCGCCTTCCTTCTACCGTCGGCGCAGCCGCCGCGGTTGGAGGGGGCCTAGGTCGGGGAGGTCAAGACGTCGACTAAAGGGATGACCCGAGCACAGCCCCCAGCACAGGAATGATTGTTGCATTAGCGCGGGGCGATACGGGTAAGTCCACACCGCCCAGAGGGCCTCCAGGGGGGACGGGTGACGACGGCGAGCCAGACGGAGACGGCGGTGGGGGAGCTAATGATCGAAAGGACCCCGCATGGCGATCTTCCAACGCCAACGCAGTGGGCATCGCTTGGAGAAGTTCTGCAAACCATAAGAATTGAATTTACTCGATATACCGAGCGTTCAGACTGCTCGAGAATGGAAGTAGCATTGCATCAGAGGTGTAGCTGGACCGCGGCACGATGTTCACGCCGCGCAAACATGGGTCAGTGAAGCGATAAATCCTGATGTGCCTAAGGAGAATATCAAATATTCTGGTGGACTGATGCGTCTTGATCTGATGATTGCGACGCGTGTGCTTGAGAAGTTTGCGAAGATGAAACGCAGCCCGCGTTTGTCGGTGCCGCGCGCGCATTTTCTATCGCAAATCAGTCGCATGGAACATTCATGTCAGACAGAAGGCCGTCTCTTAACGAGACGTGAGATGATGCGAGCTATCTGCATTTGGTGCGCTGTCAGGTCTGAGAACGGGCAGCGTCGGATATGCCGAGATCTCTTAAAGTTGACCATTGTTTGACAGAAGCCCGATCAGGACCTGTATTACTTCTATAGTGAATGGATGGAACGATATCAAGAGTCATATGGTGCCAGGGAACCTTCGGATGAAATGAAGGCTTCTATACATGCTCATTCCTATGAACAGATACGACGGGTTCCCAGGCTTCATTATGTCATGCAATGGTATGATTTGTCCACGCATCCTCCAGGCACAGGAAGGAGAACCCATCAATGGCTACTGCTCCAAGTTGTCCTCCTTATGACGCGAGATAGAGAACAGTGGGCCATTTCGGAACATGAGTCCACCTTCACTTCCAGACATAGACAAGCTCGTCTATCAGGTGGAAAGGTTGAGGGTGGCGGGGGCGGAAAAAGGGCCTGCCATGGCAGCGACGATCCAGCGATTGGGATTGCCCGCGGATACTTTGGCAAGTGGACGCACGAAGAATGAGACGACCTGTAAGTTCGTGAGACAAGGGAAGAGTTGTCATGAAGCAGGTCAAGGTTGCCCCTGCAATCGTAGGAAGCCTAAGGCACCCGCCGCACCGGCACAGCCGGGGACTGGTGGTGATAGTCGGAGCGCTGGCAGAAATAATGATCGCAACGGTGAGAATAACCGATCGGTGAGCAGAGGCCCAAGAGGGACAAATCGGCCTCGCTTTTCAACACCATCGAACAAGTTGAGCAACTCGAACACGACACAGTCGCGGACGAGGACCCCATCGGTAGCCTGGAAAGAGCAACAGAGCAAGATGGTCTGTTACGCATGGTCACGCGATCCTCGAAACTGAAAGGGCCCCCAGGATGGCTGTTATAGGCAGCGCAGAGGCCTGGCCGAAGCAGAAAAGATCAGACGCGACAGGTTTGACGAGGCACAGCTCAAGGCCGGCAAGTCTCTAGGATATCAGAGAACGGCTCGGCAAGCCGATTCTGCAGCAGCGAATGCAACGGAAGCCTCTCCGGCCAGTGCCCCAAGGAGCAGGGGTTCGAGCTGGGGTCGCGGAAAAACTCGAGGTAAAGGCAAAGGTAAGGGGAAGGGCAAACCGTGCAAGACTTTCACGGAGACAGGATCTTGCTCGCGGGGCAAAGACTGTTGGTTTGCGAAAAACGCGCCGAATCATCCGTGACGATAGCTTAGCGCTAACCTGTTACGGGTCAGTGCTAGGGAGCTCATCGAATATATGCCCCATACCTTGCTGGCACTCAT